CGTTGAGACACAGAGTGGTTGTCACACCCAAATATATATATACAACAACTAGTGTTTGAAATTTTATCTCTTACATATTTTTTCCAAAAATCATCATATCACTCATTTCTATTACATATTTAATAATTTAATATTTGATTAATTTGTAATTTAACATAATTTTTATTTCAGACATTATCTATATAGGATAGTATACGCATGTTGAAAAAATTTATCGAATTACGTATTTTTGTCTATTTTTAAGAAAAATAATGGGTAAAAATAAATTTTAAATATTGTAATCAAATAAATAAAGAAAAAAATATTATTTAATATCGTGAGATCGATTTTTTAGACTCTCAAAATTTTATGTATCATCGTGGCTTAGAACGGGTTATGACTAGTCTACATATATGCTATCTATCTATCTATATATATATATATACAAAATTACCAATGGACCTTTGGTGCAATGATACTCCTTGTTTTGTGAAGACTTTATTTTCTTGAGGTTAAGGGTTCAAACCCCATTCCCTCCTCCCTCCCCATCCCCTAAAAAATTTAAATAAATATATTTATATAATAAAGTAGTTTACAATTCAAATCTCAAAAGATAAACAAAATAATTTTTGTTATTCGCGGTTGAGATCGTTTTAAATTTTACTTTAAAGTTAATCTAACGGCTAATATTAACACCCTAAATTTAATAAGAAAAATAAACCCCTAAGGTTGTGTTTGGAGTGACTTTTTAAAAGTACTTTTAGAAATTATTTCTCATAAATACTTTAAAAAAAATATTGTTTGAAACTGTCATACCACTACCTCTACCATCACCATCGCCGCCACCACCACCACTGCCGTCGCCGCCACACCCATCGCCGCCGCCGCCACTTCCACCACTGGCATCGTCACCACCGTCACCATCAGCACCACCACCATCGCCGTCGTCGTTGCCACCACCACCGCCCCCACCCCCACTCCACCGTCGTAACCACCACCGTCGCAACCACCACTACCACCACCACCACCACATTGCCACAACCGCCATGCCTACCACCGTTATCCCCACTACCACCCCCATAATCGTCGTCGTCACCGCCACTACCACCACCATCGTTGTCGTCGCCGCCGCCACTGCCACCACCACCACCACCACCCACCACCATCGTCGTCGCCTTCACTGCTACCACGGTTATTGTCATCCACCACCACTGCCGCCCACCATCTCTCACCCCCATTACATACTAATGTTAAATTCCTTTATCTATTCTCTATGTTTGTGATTTAATTTTGGATATGAATATAAATATGTTTATTATTTATTATTTTTTTATTACTCTGTGCTTTCGGACACAAGTAATAACTAGTATATATACATAATAAACAAATTAAACGGGAGAAGGCCTGAGAAACCTTCCATCAACATTTTTTAATTTTTTAGAATTTAGAATTTAAAATTTTTTAATTCAAAACTTAAGGCTCTTTCTAATGAAACGCTACCATGTGTCATTTCTAACCGCCTCACAACTCCCCCAATAACTGACCTCTAAAATTATTTTTTAACATCTAAATTTTTTTATAATTGTTTTTATCTAATTTATTAAATGATAAAATAAAATAATAAATAATAAATTAAGTAATAAAAAAGAGACATAAATTATAATTCCATGCATCGCACGGGACAAACCACTATATCTTATATTCTGTAATAAAAAAAATGTCATTAATTTCACGTTCTATGCACCTGATAATTTTCCGGTATTAATTAAAGGTAGGTAGGACAAAGAATTACATTAGTCCAATGTTCGAACTTTAACTATAAAATAAAATAAAAAAATAGAATTATATAGGCTCAATAAAGTGTAAAGTTCAACAAGTCAGAAACCTCGTATCTATTGGTGCAATTTACCCTCACTTTAAATATCTCCTTCCCCGCTGCTGGGATCATAGAAACCATAAGGGGGGAGAGCCAGAGACTTCCATAGGGAAGCCTGTTGCCTTATGCTGAGCACTTTTTTTCTCAGAGCTCGAAACCCAAAGGCCAAGGATGCCTTTTCTCCGGTCTCTATGTCGACCTACCCAATCACTCCTTCTTATCTGCAGCATCACCACTACCACCACCTGTAAATTGGTCAAGCCTCCGCCATTTTCACTCCCAGTTCTATCCCTCCTTGACATCTTCTTGCAGACCCATCTCCAAATTCCACAGGTGCTCTTTCTTCTGTTCTGGGTCTCGCTCTATTTCTCATGCCAGAGTCTTTAAACCAACAGGTTTGCTTCTTTGCCTTAAACTTCGATTTTTCGTCCCAAAATTTCATTTTCTATAGTTTGTATTGTTCTGAGTCTTGAAATTCCGGTATAATTGTCTAAGCCACTTTCTTTTGTTTGGAAATATTTTTTTACAGTCAATGTGGAGAATTATGAAAAGGATGAGACAATTAATTTAGCTAAGTTGATGGTCTTGAAGGGAAAAATTGAGGTTCTTGGTATAGACTTCAGTTCTTGTACACCTGGACAATACAGCCACTTACTTTGTCCCAAGGTGTGGTGCTTAGATTCCTTTTTCTTTTTTCTTTTGTGATTTCACTGTTACATCGCTGAAGCAGGATTTTGAAAAGCTTTAATTGCTCTGAAGAATGAAAATCAAACCATTATTTTCTTTATTCCACAATAAGCAAAATATATTCATTATTGGATGAATTTCAAAGCTCTGATATACTTAAAGTATGTTATTTGAAACGCCAAAAACAAGTGAGAAAGACTACTATATAAGTTTTTGTGGTACAATCTGGGGTAGTAGCTTTTCTGTTTGTCTTTGTACGCATGCAATGAAACTTGAGATTGTGATGTAAAATTCTTTGTTATGGATTACATAGTGCTAGGATTAGGGTAGATCATAACTGATGTGGAGCTCACAGTTTATCAAATGTAATGGCCTTTGACAGAGCCGAGTAGCTTAAAAGGATTCATGTAGCAACTCCAAGTAGTCGGGAAAATGCTTTGAATTGGTTTGAGTTACAGATTTTGTAGAAATCCATTATGTCTGGAAGTTAAAAATTGTACTTTGGGATGTCAGTCCCACACCCTTAATAAGACTCATGCATAAACAAAAAGACATTTGTAGAATGCATTTGGTTCTTCAAATACTAACGTTGAGGCCTATTTTTTCCCTCGTATTTAAATCTTTATGTATCAATGGCATAGTGCAAAGGTGGGCTGTCAATGGAGAGGAGTCTATCATTTCACATCTCCCAAAATCGGTAAGCTAATGCCTGTCTATACTCTATGTTTGAAAGGGTTCCATACATTGTTTATGCTAGAATTGATCAACGAGAGAGAGAGAGAGAGAGAGAGAGAGAGAGAGAGAGAGAGAGAGAGAGAGAGAGAGAAATTATAAAATGACACAACTAGTATGTGCAATAACACACACACACATAAGATACACAAAAAATTCCCTTATCTAGTAGAGCAACATAATATAAAATAAACGTCTAAACTACCCTTAGTACTAATTGGCTATAATACTCTAACACCCCGTCCTCAAACTCATGATGTGGTATTATAGAATATCAAGAGTTTGTCTAGAAGAAAATGAAAATGCGTTATGGTGTGAGATTTCGTAAAGAAATTCATTAACTGCATAGTAGAAGGAATAAATGGGAGAGAGATAATGTCCACCTGAAGATGATGACGCACAAAGTGACAGTCAATCTCAATATACTTTATACGCTCATGAAAGACTGAGCAACATTAGTTTGTTTCTTGCTTTTTCAAAAAATACCGGAGTTGACTTAAATCTTTAATCTCAAAATAATCCTGCAACTAATTTTTCAATAGTTGAATTCTAGTAATATCATAACCGTTAATAATCAAATCTTCAACATTGAGTAAGAGAACAATAGAGTTCGATAAAGTGAACCTCAACAATAAAATAGAATTATGATAATTGACACGAAAATCCAAGTCATCCATGAGTGAAAAAAACTTAGCAAATCAGACACTAGAGCCTGTTTAAGGTTCTATAAAGTTTTGTGAAGTCTGCAATCTTGACCAAGACTATAAGACAATCCTAGAAGAGGAGTCATAAAAACTCGTTCAAGTAAATGTTCATGAAGGAAAACATTTTTCACATCTATCTGAGACTAGTTCTATTGACGAATGACAGTTACTACAATCACAATACGAACAATGGTGATCTTGGCAATAGGGGTAAATTGCCCTAGTCTAGTCTGTACTTTTGAGCAAATCCCTTGGTTACTATGTGAGCCTAGTACCTTTGCATAGAATCGTCAGATTTGATTTTGATTTATAGACCAGTTTACAACTAGTGGTACGTTTGCTAGGAGATAAAGACACTAACTCTCAAGCTTGGGTCTTATGTAAGGGAGATAGCTCCTTATCCATATCCTGTTGGCAAAGAGGATAAACCATAGCCTCCTTAGAGTAGGTAGATTTAGACAGAGGGTGACTAGAAGTGAGAAAAGAACAAAAGTCAGAACAATAGCAAGAATTGAAGAAACCAAACTTATCTGGACACTTTCAATAGCGGTGGGATAGTGAGGAACATGATCTACAGTGTCAGAACCTGATTGAGTAACGTGAGGAGAAGAAGGAGACACCGCATTCGTAGAAGAGACAACGAGATTCCTGTGAATATAAGTATGCACAATAGAGAGATGGATAACAGACAAGTTAGAAGAAGAAGAAGAAGATGACAAATTTGACACACTTACACGAGTATGTTAGAGTATTGTAGCCTATTAGAATTAGGGATAGTTTAGTCCTTTGTGTTATGGTATGTTGCCCAACTATATAATGACCTTTATTGTGTATCTTATGTGTCTGTTATTGCACATACTAATTATGCTATTATGTTAATTTCTCTTTCTCTCTTCTCTCGTTGATCAATTTTAACATAGTGTCAGAGCAGGTTACGATCTCTAAACACGACTAAATTGTCACTAATACTAATTAGGTACGATACTCTAACAGTTTATACTTGGTGCTTTAGGGATTTTGCAATGTGGAGGTGTTTTCGTGTTGAATGTGGATGGGCAGGCCAGGTAATTTATTGTGTACTTCAAATTTACTTTTGGTTGGAGTTTTAATATCGGAGTCATTTTCCTTTTATTGGGTATAATTTTGGTTGCAGGTTTTCCCAGACAAGAGGGCAGCATATACTGGAGCCCATCAGAATGCCAAAGTAAGTTTCTCCAGGCAACTAACAGAGGAAAGCCTGGGGTTAGAACCACCAGGTGATGAGGTATTTACATGAATCAATTGTGCACTATCAATGTATCATCATTTTCACTTGTGTGTATAAATGCTAGATTAAGTTGAATTTTCCTTTTTGTCGTTATTCTTGGCATGACCTTATCTTTGTCACACTAATAGTGTAATTGTCACAGTAATAGTGTTACCTTTCTGTTAAGTAGCCTTGCGTATGCCTAAGCACATTGGGGAAGGGAAATATTTCGTGTCTTAATGGAATCAAAACCCAAAGTTGTATTGGGGAGATTTTGTGTGCACCTATCGAGCATTCACCTATAAAGCACTGTGGTGAGATTAGAAATTCTGGGATACCAGAGCAAATGATGTTGTAGGTTTCATGAAAACTTACTACATGATATTATCTTGCTTTGATACTTTGTATGTTAAACCCGAATAACAATGTTGAGAGCTATGTTAGTGATTAGTAACATGGAGACAATGGGGCTACTCTTTTCGAATTTGGAAGATTAGTTAGTGACAAATATTTAAGGATAAGATAGGATGATAAGCAAATCCAGAATTAATGTTAATATCTTAGATGGTTCCTATATTTAGTTTGTAGGAGACAAAGCAAATGAAATAAAAATACAAGTTATAATTTGTTTATTATGCTAGAGAATGCAAACCAACAAATGGAATTGGAATAATAGTAAATCAACATATTAAACAAAACATAGTAATCGCTCTTACGAAAGGAGATTGAATAACATTAAGTGAAATATAATTTACAACATACAGTTAATGTTATTGTGCTTATTCACCATAGGAAGAATTAAATTAACATATTGAAAAACAAATTTGGATCATATAGATGAACTAATGCAACTGAGTATCTGTCAAGAGGCTTTAATGATTATATAGGAAAAGGTCAGTGAGGATATGAGATGTTTTGTAGTGGCCATGGGTTTGGTGAATGATGCTAGAAAGTTAGTATTTTACAGTAGAATATGATCCCATGTTAGAAAATTACTTCGACAAAAGAGATTGACTTTTTATGACATTTGGAAGTAGATTAAATATTAAGCAACATTGTATTTCAACCTAGGAAGCATGGATACTTCCCAAGGGGTACTGTGGCAGTGTCCGGCACTGCTAGAAGTACTCAGAATAGTGAACTTAGTCGTTCCCGGCTAGGATATGGCCAGGACAAGGCCATGATTTTTTTTAAAAAAATGATTGTTAAGTATTACGAGTGGTGTAATTTCTTTTAACTATTTTTTGTGTTTCGTGTTATGTAACTTCTATACTATGAATGTTAATGGATGTAATGATAGTTGATGAAAATGGTAGATACTTATTTTGATCTATTTCAATTTTAATTATGTCTTATTATTCATGTTGTTATAAAATATGCTTTGTTTTTAATATATTATAGTTCTTTAGTACTCAATAAATTAAGCACATGTGTCTACAGTATGAAAAGGACAAGTGGTAAGAATTATTAGTTGACATGGCAGTATGGCCCAATAGGGTCCAATGGAATTGGTACAGACAATAGTATCGCAATTGGCACTCTAGTGCCGTAACCGGCACCAACACCGCGAAGGGTGGAACACATCCTCGTCACATTGGAATTGGCCAAATGGCATCGCAAAGGTCTAGGGGCAACCTTGGTGTAACTCGCCTACCCCACTGCGGAGATAAGGCACAAAGTTAGGACTTCACAGATGACAAAATTGATATCCTCAACCTAGTGGACATTATTGGTTGATTGACCCAGTGAACTAAGAGGAGGGTCCACACCTAGGGACAGGATAGTATAGCCCTCCTCAAGGGAGAACTAACCAACGGGGGCAGATGAGCATGATTGTCAACCTCGGTCTAGGACAAGGTTTCAAAGGTTTAGTCTACTACTCAAACAGGCCTCCTAGTGTATGACTCACTGCCCACAACTATCTGGAGGGACTTCTAAGGTGACTGAGGTCATTGGTTCAGATTAATATATGGAATAATGAGACATGTAGATCGGTGGCTGAAGGACCAAAATTACGTGGCTATCTTCTATCAAGTATTTTAACAAAGGTCTCGAGGAAGGGTTCAGAGAAGGAAAGGAGGACCTTGAGTAGAAGTGTACTGGGGGCATTGCACAAATGGCCCCCTCGCGGTGACTAGTCGCTCTCATTAAGTGTAAACCCCAATTGTAAATTATCTCTCACCAACCAATAATGCAATATTTAAGATTTAAAATATTATAAAATCATGCTCAATTATATCTTAGTGTGAATATTTTTTTTGGGGGGAGGGGGAGGGGGAGGGAGAGGGGGGCTTGAACCCTTGACCTAAAGAAGAAAAAATTTTCACAAGGTAAGGAGTACCATTGGACCAAAGACCCAGTGTGAATAGATATTAAATTCAATAATATAAATTATATCTAATTATTTTTATTTACATTTTAGCATTTTAATCCAATAATAGGGTATTTAAAATGTACTTTCACGCACTCATCACATACCTTTGGGGTTGTTCGCAATAGATACACGGATTAATGGTGATGAGATTAGAAGCTATGAACATGATACAATTGTTTCGTTTGTACAAAAAGGAAGTCAACTTGCTTCACCATATTATGCTGTGCATTCTTGTTTTCCAAATGGCCTGGACATTTCAATTGGCATGCACAATTTGATCTGGCACACTAAATTTAAAAAAAAAAGAACAAAAATATAAGAAGGCACCAATAAAAAAAGAATAAGATATTGGTTTTGCTGAGGGGTTTTTATGGGTGGAAAGTGTGTCAAATTTTTTGCCCAAGTTAAAATGAGTGATTTGCTGAGTTGGTAGGTGCAATTTGACCAGGCACACCAAATTGAAAAAAAAAAAGGAAGAACTTGATTTTCAATAAGAGCTGTTGTGGATGGAAAGTATGCTCAAGGTTTTGAAATTGTCCTGGGTTCTTGAATACATAAGGTGGTAGGAGTAATCTCCTGACGCGTGATGAGCTATAACTCTCCCCTTCGATTATGCATCACAAACCTGTCATTTCTATGTTTTTAAGGAGTCCTGCGGTGGTTGAATTTGTCAGCCATATGCCATTAGCTATTTCTATTTATCTTTTAAACATGATCCTTGTGTGACTTCGGTTGATTCTCTTAATAATTTTCTTAATTTTTTTTCCAGTTGGTTGCATATTTTGCTAAGCGAAGGATATCAAAGGAAACTCTAGAAAAAAATGCTATTCTGCAAAAATCGGGGGAACAGGTCAGAATTTAAGTATGTGGAATGACTGCCTTTAACAGTTGTCTTTTTTCATTTTTCTTATTGATACCAAATATATAAAGTTGATATAATCAAGGTCAGAATGAACTGATTTGAAGTGATTGTTTATTTCTTTGAAATATGTCATCAAACATATGGGTTTCCATGAGGTGTGATCAAGTTGCTCCCAATTCTGACATTGCCGGCTACCTGACAATGAAAGTTTTCTGACACAGTACTCATGATAGCTTAAATTGGTATAACTATTGATATGTATTACAGGCTTGACATATCACAGTGAATGGGCTTAGATTGCTTCTTAATTTTCAGCCGTGGAGCTAACCTGTGGATGTGAGAGTAAATAATTGTTTTCTAACTTGCACAATTTCTTGTCAATCCCTATGGCACGTATATTACTGCTGTAAGTCACTTTGTGGGACTAAGTTCTTAATCACATCCTGGAGATCAATGAACTTTCAATTTCTGCAGAGCCTGATACTTTTTCTTTCAGCTGTTGTGCCTTCTGAAAATCCTGTCTCGAAACAGTTACTTATTCTATTTCCTGTTATAGGAAAATAGGGATGTGGATTTATCTTTAAAGGTTTAGACTACTGTATTGGTAAAATTGCATTACCATCATCAAGAAATAGGTTGTTTTGTCTACTACACTTGAACGTGGGAATTAAAGTTTCCTCGTCCTTTTGTTACTTCTTTGTTTTTTTGCTTGTTTGGTTTTGTATAAATTTGCTTGTGCAAATGTGCTTGCAGAATATCATTGCTTTTACTTACCGCCGAAATGGAGTCCTTGTCAGCTGCAAGTACAGAAGCATCATTGACAAAAGATATTGGCAGGTACTTTTTGTTGGAGTTCTGAAAGTTGCTGATATTCATGAAGATATTGGCAGGTACTTTTTGTTGGAGTTCCGAAAGTTGCTGATATTCATGATGGGAAAGAATTGATCATCTGAGATGATCAAATTTTTGTTTTAGTGCATTATTTCGGTCACTTAACGAAAACATTTTGACCTGTTTCGGAAACGTTTCAGACCCATTTCGGAAACCATAGTTATCAAATCACGATTTGAATTGGAATCCTAAATTTGAGAATCGTGAATCGTATCGAATCGTGATCGTAAGATTCGATACAAAACTTAAACAAAAATAAAAAATAATACTACATATTTAAGAAAATATTGAATATTGAATATTGAACATTATTACATTCTAAAAATAATCAATTGATATAATCATGTTGTCTAAATGGAAAGACGCTAGTTTTTTATTTCATTTTTATTTTTTTCCTTAAGTATTTTCAAATTCAACAACTTGAAAAAAAAAAAATTCATTAAAGAACCTTGGCTATTCAAGAACCAAAATAGTGACCCCCAATATAGATTAGGTTATAAATATGAATGAAAAAAGAACAAGAGAGAAAATTGATTGGGAGAGAAAATTGATTGAGAGAAAACATAGAGGCTAATATTTTGAAACAAAAAATTAGAACCTAACAAATTACACATGAAAAATTGAAATCAAAAAATAATAGATGATGCGAGATCATTAGCACAAGGCAAACTTTAGATGACGTCAGAGAGAGAATGAGCAAAGAGGTTGAGTTTTTATTAGGGTGTGAGTTCATTTGTAAACAAAACGACGTCGTTTTACTATTTAGCGAACAAAACGAAGACGTTTTGCCAAAAATTTGGGTTTTTAAAAAAATGACTAAATCATACAATTAGTGCGATACAAATCGAATCGTACTATTTAGGTGCGATTTAACTCTAAAACGATTCTCATATAAGATACGACTCGTTTTGTACCTGTATCGAACCGAATTGTACGAATCGAATCGTGAATCGTACGATTTTGAAAACTATGTTGGAAATAGAATGAAAAAAAATAAAAATTTTAAGTATCATTTTTTCAAAACATTAGTTGAAATATATCAAAAATCTTGAAATATCTCGAAACATTCCGAAATAATTGTGCAAATGTATTGAAGCATTACAAAATACCTCGAAACATAATGAAATACTTTGAAGTATTAGAATTTGATTTCATCATGATTCATTTCTGTCTCCTTAGAAACGGAAATGTTTCGGATGTTTCGAAACGAAATTTTGATCCTTGCTGAGATGTTGTCTTGGTCACATGGGTTGGGTTGGGTGGAGGGTTTTGGAAAAAGTTCATAGGAAGTGGTATTTAATGCAATTAATTGGTGGTTGTGGAAGAGAAGAATTAAAGTCTTTTGGCGATGTAGATATCATGGATTTCTAGCTCAGAAATTGTAAAAGTATTGTGAAATTGTGTTGATTTTTTTCCTTTGTTTTTAATGTTAGCGTCATGGATTTTTGTATGTTTTTTAATTGCATAACTTTCCTTCTCCTCATCCTCCTTCTATTGGTTCTCTGGTCACTGTAGACCTTACAAGAGAAATATTTGCAAGTAAATTGGTTCATTTTGTAGTTAGGTTCTCATTTTGTTCTGTGGGTACGTTGCCAATAAACCTTTTAAGATTTGTGCAAAAAAAATATTATCCTATACCATTACGTTCATTTTTGCCTATTTTTCAATGTGAAATGATATGTTCGTGAACTTCTGCTCTTAATATTCAGGAGAAGGGTACAGAGAAGATACTATATGGACTTGATGGCATAAAGGAAGCAGATGAAATCATTATTGTAAATACTTTTACCAATTTTGGGCCGTCATCTTATAGTCACATAACTCCATCTTTGTCTTTCTGTAGTGATTTTTAATTATTACTTCTCTGATTCTGACCATAGGTTGAAGGTGAAATAGATAAGCTGTCAATGGAAGAAGCTGGCTTTTGTAATTGTGTCAGTGTTCCTGATGGTGCGCCACAGAAGGTTTCAGCTAAAGAACTTCCATCTTTGGAAAAGGTTTGCCTTCACGCTAAAATTTTTCACAAGCTCTCTTTGTGTCTCGTGTTAATTGTCATGGATGCTTTTGCAGAAGGCCTGCGTTTGTGTTTGACAGATGTTAAGACACCTTCACATTTTAGACTTCTTGGGCAAATATCTGGCTCATGGGCTTGTCTGTAATTCATAAAGAGACATATTCTTTGCTAACTGTTAGACAGCCCATATCTCCAATAGGCCTTCTGTGTAGCAAACGCCTTTTTTTTTTTTGTTAGTTAATGTAAACATCAGATGTTCTGCTTTGTAATAAGAGGACATGGACCATTTTAAGGATGAAGGTATTGTGAGGGTCTCAAGGCTTTCCTCTTCAATTTTGTGTGTATATCTCCATATCCTTCCATGCCTATGTGCTACTTTTCAATGATTCATGTTATTTGTCTTTTAAAATGTTGTCTCTCTTTTTCATGTTGGTTTCAACTTCCTATATATCTAGTTTAGCAATGCAAATGACATATTAATAGCTTTACTTATTATGTGCCATATTCTGGATGTCTGTGTCCCTGCTTTCTAATAGCTTCTGCTGGCTTTTTTTGTATGCTGTTGTTTTTTTTTTTCCTTAACTTATTTATCAATTTTTTTTTGGGTAATTAATTTGTCAAGTTGGATTATTCTAGAGGCATATTTCCTTACTTTCATTTTTTCTATATACAAGTTGCTCACATTGCCCTTAAACAATAATGAATACGCAGCTACAAAAAAATTCTGTGTTAAGATGAGAACCGGATGTTGTTGGTCTTGTTACTGTTGCACTCATTGAGTGCATCTGGAAAATATTTAGTGCTTGGTTAAGTCAGCATCTGATGTGAAATTGCAGTTTGATGAGGTTTAAAGATTTCATTGTTGGATGGCAATGGCAGTAATAATCCATGCAAACCCTAAACTGTAGTCTACTAGCTGAATGTTTATTTTGATAAACTGAAACGATAGTGTGAAGTTTTAGGTTTCAAGGTTAGGGTTTTGGTTCCGGGGTTAGGGTTAGGGTTAGGGTTTAGGTTCAATATCAGACTTACAATTATAGTGCACTTATTTTCTGTTGATCATGTATCTGAACTTGTGAGAGAGATTGCGATTTTTGACATGTTTTTGAAATGGGAGAGAGATTGCAATCTTTGATCCTTTGAAGCTTCTTGGACACAGTATTGAGATTTGCCAGCCTTTCACTTAGTCTCCCTCTCTCGTCCACGCTCCTTTTAATGATTACGGTGTATGTATTACGGTTTTAAGTTTTAACTATTTTAAAGATTACTGATTTCCAATGGCAACTGGAGTAATTTGATATATTGATATAAATCTTGCAATTAAAACCTTAAGAGGGTCTTCTTTTTTGATTTTGTTTCACTAGGCATTGGTAATAACACTGGTAGATTTTTAATCTTATACTTTTAATCTATGCTTAACAAATCTGCTATTATTTTTCACCCCTTTCTCTCCTCTTTATCTTTCCATATTGTTGAAGATCCGTAAACACTTCGTTCAGGTGCCAAATATTTTATCTCTCTCTCTCTCTCTATATATATATATATATTGTTTCCTCTTCTTTTGTTCATTGTTTCTTCTACTTATGCAACATGTATATTAATTATCATGATTTTTTTAAGTTTCTTGAGTAACAATTGCTGAATAAAATGGACCTAGAGGATCCCACATGGGAATATTGTGTTAGCATTGGTAAGGGTATAAGTGCATCATCACAAAATATCACATTTTTTGATGATGCAATTTTTTTCTGGGAAGGTAATACTGCACGTTCAAGCAGTGCTTTTTTGGGACAAATTGAACATGTTTTTATTTACTAGAAGTTGGGGTATACCTTATAAAGAAACTTTTTTTCCCTGTTGGACGAAGAATGGATGAAATTGACAAAAAAAGATTGACACTCAGGTGACATGGATTGGTCTGAAAAGATAAAAAAAATTATTAGAAGAGGAGAACTATGTATGGACGCTTATATTGCACATGGAAGTAAACCGCGAAAAACTGTTACAATGGTGATTATAGATGGATTGCTCTGAAAAAGAGAGAAAAAAATTGGTACAATAGGAGACCTATGGATGCTTGTATTACACAGTAAAATAAAATTTGGAGAGCCAAAAAGTCTTATCCTTAGAGTTACTATTTTTGCATATTTGCAATTACTAACCACTGAACCACTGCATCAATGAGAATATTAATTTAATGTTGTATTAGTTTAAATTTGTCTGGAAAGATAACATTGTAATTCACAACGTGGCATTTTGCTGCTAAACTTTCAAAAAACAACCTGCTTTGCTGGAGATCACTCTCTAGTTATCTCTAAGCAAACTATTCTAGAATTACCTCAATAATGAAAGTAAAGGAAAGAGAATGCATGTTGCATTTCTCCTTCTGCAACAATCTCCCTCGTTGGGTGAAAACATACTCTTACAGAATTACATTCTAGTTACACGTTGTTTTAGTGTACTGTTACTTAATTTCATACTCGTAGTCGTATCCCATGCCTAACATTTTTCCTTGATTTTCCTCTTCATTTTACTGGTAATTGATAGCTTATGTTTCCGATCATCATTTTTCGAATATGTTTTTTCATTTTATTTGTGATCTAGAACTTGTTTTTATTTTTCGTTTAGTTGTTTACTATTTTGTATTTGTATACGCATGTATATGAAGCTAGGACACCAGATTTCAGTATCTATGGAACTGCAGAGAGTACTTGGACAGGGTTAGTGACCTTAGCGTTTGGATTTAAGTTCAACCATAGTCTGGATAGCATAGATTAGCCCTCTGGTTCTATTATTTCCATACTAATGTTTTTCTTTCTGTCCAATTATTCCTTTTAGGCATCCCGAATTATCCTGGCAACTGATGGTGACATACCTGGGGAAGCCTTAGCTAAAGAGCTGGCACGCCGCCTTGGAAGCGAAAGGTGCTATACACAAGCTTTCTATGTCTGATTATTAAGACATTCTACGATCAAAATACGAAAATCTTAGTTAACACTGAACCCTGCACAAACAACTTGCAAATTGGCAATTGGGACTCGAATTTGAAGGGTCCTGCCTAATATACAATTGCATCTTTAAATATCACAGTATTCAGGTTATTTGAATCATCTAACTTCAATTTAGCTTTAGAATGTTGATAATCTCACGAGACTTGAAGTTTTACAATAAGAACTGTTGTGAAGTGTAAAGTCCTATGCTATTGACTATTTTTTCCTATATCCAGCAGGGCCCATCTGGTGATGTGCTTTGCAATACTATATCAATACCTTGTGTATTATTGTGGACCTTGTCCCAAGTCTGATGATCAGAGATCAAGTGTTTACATTGTTCAGGAAAAAAGTATATTGCTAGATTTTCTAAATTATCTAATTAGTTTGTTCTTTTTGCTGCCCATCAGATGCTGGCGAGTAAGTTGGCCGAAGAAAAGTGAGCTCACCAGCTTTAAAGATGCAAATGAGGTTTGACACTTGCCTCTATTCTTCTTCTATCTTGATATTTCTTTTACTTTTTCTTGCAGGTGAATGCTGTGGGGGCATTCTAAAGTCCAATAGTATTACTCTGCTGGAGAAAATATTTAAATTACAACCCAAGATAACCAAGTAAAAGAGCACTTTTCAATGCTGTTTGGCCTTTTTTTGTTTGTTAAAAAAATAAATAAATATACTTTCACTGCATTAATACAAATTGTAGGTGGGGAGTTAAAAGAGGTTGGCACATGTGTCTATGCCAAGAGTAATCGAAGGGGGTGAGTAAGATAAGTGGATGAAATGGAAGGAACTCTAGCAACTTGTTAACATAGGCACGAACTAGTTGGGCAAAGGGTAGGTGAAAAATGCTCTCACCAGCCAGAAAATCATCCTTTCGTAGTGGGCAAGTAATGTGGGTATTTATAGCATAGTGCTCGGTTTGGGCAGCCCGCTGTGACCCCCTACCACTCGAGCTAACCCACAACTGTCTCGACCGCGACGATACCAGTGGCTAACGGCGATCTATGCGACCCAACATTAACTAGACAGATGTGATGTTTTTTCAAATGCAACTTCGACGTGACTCCGAGAAAGTTGTGACAGCCAAGGTGAGAAAGGGCTTTCAAGGTCCATGACCGCAACTGGTCGTCGTGGGACCATGACCTCGAGGGACCATGCCCGCGATGCCCCCAACGCGCTCCTACCCGGGGTCTTTCTTTTCCTCTTTAGACCCTTCCTCGAGACCTCTGTCGAGGTGCCCAATAGAAGAAAGTCATATAGTTTCGGTCCTTCAGCCACCAATCTACATGTCTCATCATCTCATATGCTGATCTGGGTCAATAACCTCAGTTACCTTAAGAGTCTCTTCGGATCCCAGTCAAGCACATCCCAATGGGCAATGAACCATACACTGAGAGGTCTGCTCGAGCAGACTAAACCTTCGAGACCCTGCCCTAGGCAGAGGTTGACAATCGTGCTCATCCGCCCCTATTACTCGATTCTCTCTTGAGGAGGGTCATACTCTCCTGTCCCTAGGTGGGGACACCTCTTAGTCCAGTAGGCCAGTCGAGCAACAGTTGAGGATACCATTCCCGCAGCGGGGGAGGCGAGTCTCGCTGAGGCTGCCCCACACTTCTGCGATACCATTCCCGCTAAAGGACTTCGCGCCAAGGGGCATCGTGCCTAGGGGCGTCGCACTTGTCACCGTTGTCTATACCAGTCCAGCTGAATTGTGTCGGGTCCCCATTTCTATGTCAATTGATAATTATTGCCACTTGTTCTGTTATAGTGGAGACACGTGTCTTGAAGTTTTTCAAGTACTACACAGATTATTTATGCATTTTCGTTAGAAGGCTATAAAAAGTCTCTTTTCAGATGCTACTAAAATAGAGCTTTAGGTCCATGTTGACATAGTATTTGGTTTTTATGGTGATAGGTTCTCACGAATCTGGGACCAGGGGCATTGAGGGACATCATTGGCAATGTGGAGTTATACAGGTTGCAAAAATTTAACTAAACCATGTGTAATGTAGGCATCATGTAAGTGTTTCAGATGTAATATGATAAGTGTTCTACTGTTTTTGCAGAAAAGTTGTACACAATCACGTAGATTTAGATCAAAATGTTGTCGTCACAAGTTTAATTGACAATGGTTCATTAAAGTTCTTGTTGCTGCCATGCCTTGTTGTATATGTTTCCTAGTTCTGCAGTTTGTGTTCTTGTTAGGATTTTCATTTTGCATTTAGCATCCTATCAACAACACATTCAAAATATGCACATGATCTGCGTGTTTTTTTGTATAACATCAGTTTTAGCTTGGAAAATTGAAAGGAATAAATATTTCTTTTGGGCTATAGTTATCAGTTTTCGAAGTTATATGTGATTGTACATCAGTATGCATATACTAGTATTCAAGAACTTGCTGGTGTTTATATTGTTGGGAGGTCTTGAATTGAACTAATTCTAGCTCAAATATTTTTCAAGTTTGCCAAAGGAATCAGTTGATGGAATTGCTCGCTCACACAGATCAAATGGTGCTTGGATGATGCAAGTGCCATATATGATAACTTTGAAAATTAGTGGGTCAGTCATCCATATAAAGACCCACTAATTCTTCAATACTAGCAATATATGTATCCTCTTTTACAATCGGATGATAACTTTGAAAACCAATAACAACCACTCCTAAGAAATATTTATTGCTTTCTATTTTCCCAGCTAAAATCTGATTCTATATTGATAAAATGGTGTAAATCATGAACGTATGGAAAATGTGTTGCTTTTAGCATGCTAAATGCAAAATGAGAATATAAATCAAGAACTCAAAACGCAGAACTGGGAAACATACACAACAAAGGACTGAAAACAAAAACTTTTATGCAGTAACAAAAAAGAAAAAAAAAAAGAAAGAATGACTTTTCTGAATCATCCTATTGAAACATATTACAACAACATTACGATTTAAATCTATAAGACAACCTTTCAGTAGAAAACAGTGGAACACTGACCATATCACATTTGAAATACCTTAATGACGCCTATATTACACATGGTTAGGCCAAACAGAGCTTATTGGTTTAAATAAATGGTTTTGATTCCTTGGGTGCGAAGAGACACCCTCCAATATCTGTTAGTATTTTTTCTTATAATGTTGTATTTAGGTAAGTTTATATATATATATATCTCAAATTCCGAAACAGATTACTTATTCACAACGATTATAAGTAACCCTCAAATTTTTTGGTGTTGTTTTTAACAACAAACCTAAATTGGTGGTTGTTAGAATAACTATTGCATAGTTTGAGAATCAAACTTTAAATTGGCTTTATATCTTTACGCTGTTTTATACTATAACCATGAGATACATACAAGATCGAACTTGGCATGTGAAACCCCATATATGCAGGCACCAATCCTTTGAATAAAATTACATTACTCTTTGTATGATTTCTGAATGTTTGTGAATACGATTGTTCAAGTATGCTGAGCGATTCTCATTCTTTATACAGATTGGACACCAGCTAAAGTGGGTTTATTTGCTCATATCATAATCACGAGCAGGGGCGGCTTAAGGAAATTTGAGGCCTTTTTATTTTTGGTGTTAAAATTTTGATTAAAATTAATTCTTCTCATTTTTCGAGTTATAAAAGTATAAATTGAGTATTTATATTTATATTTTTGTATTTTGTTTTTAATTTTTTCTTGTGACAGTTGATTTTAAGTAAAATTTTATCAATTTTAATTTTGAAAAATTTCTTTTTGTAGAAATAATTATTACAAAAATTAATAATAATATTCTTTAAGTAATGCATACATTTGAAACAAAAATCTAGTCTTTTTATATAATTTAGTGTTTCAATTAGAGTATTTTCTTTAATTTATAAAATCTTCTTTAAAATATTTTATTTTTAAAATAACCTAAATTATCAATGTCAGAAAAATTGTTATGTTTTAAGAAACATCTGAGATCAAGATATTTTTTTTTAAACTATTAGCATTTAATAATTTTATTTTTTAAGTTAAATAAAAAACCAAAAAAAATTATTTATTTTAAATTGATATGGAGAGGTAGTGAGTGAGAATGAAAATGAGAGAGAGAGGATTTCTAGTATTGTGCAATGAGAGTTTGAGAAAGAGAGAGAGAGGATGTGGTTGAGAATGGGTGGGTGAATTATAACTTGACTTTTGAGTATATCAACATGTTTTTTTTAATAAAATTTTGCTTTTTTAAGTTTTTTTTTATTTTGAGTTGAATCATGAGCTCAAAAAATTATTAAAATTTTTGATTGGCCTTAAATTTAACTAAGGCTTTTTTCTAGGGCTTATAATTTTAATGGACTTAAAATTCTAAAATTAGCCAATTATTTACCTTAAATTATGGAACCTTATAAAATTATAGACCTAAAACTTAGACTTTTTCACTTGAAAAATTTGGAGATCAGTCCCTCTTTATGGACTTATTTGGTGATAAGTTCATCAAGAATTTTTTTTAATCTTAAGTCCATTTTGATATCTATTATCCAAAATACCCCTAGTAGTTATGTTTAATTAAAATAAATTTAAAAGCTAACAACTCTTAATTTTAGGAGTTTAACTAACATCAAAAAATTTTCTCTCATATATATTTATATTCATATATAGAAAATGACTATTTTTTTCTCTCTCTTTCTCATTTGTGTGTGTATATATATATCTATACTATTTTAAAATGTGCGAATACATGAAAAACATTTTATTTGTGTGTATATATATATCTATACTATTTTAAAATGTGCGAATACATGAAAAACATTTTATTTCCACTTTTGTCCTCCAAAAACACAATAATGTCATCTATATCCTTCATCTTTAATAGCAAAGTAAACCTAATCACCACTTCCTCTTTTTCCCTTTACTCCTGTACTGACCCGTATCTTGTATCTCTCTCTCTATTTTTCAACCGTTTCTCTCTCTCTCTCTCTCTCTCTCTCTCTCTCCTTATTCTCGGCCGTTACTTTCCCTCTCGCCCTTGCGTTTTCACACATCAACGCAGACCAAACCGTCATGCCCCCTCTCCATCTCTCTTTAATTCTACCTTTGAGTCCCTACAACTTATTATTAGCAGATTTAAGGGCTTCTCCATACAACCCAGGTTCTATACCTGCACCTATTATTTCTCTCCAATTTTCTTTAATTATACTAATTCAATTTAAGAATCATTTACGATCGCAATGCCTTGCACCCTTTGCCATTCTAGAAATCAATTAGCAACTTACACTCTGTTTCTTTTAATTCCAAAATTACAGGAAGTAATGTCCAAAATATAAATGACTACACCACTTCGCACACATCCTCCCAGTTCATATTTCGCATGGTCAACAGCCTTCGCCTTCGCCTTCGCCCTTTCTCTGTCAAACGTTGGCTGTATTTTGTTTCTTGGTATTCCACAAGCATCACTGTACTGCTTCATCAGGTAACAAATTTTTGTTAACAAATTATTCCTCTAATGTCTTGGGTTAGTCATTATCCTCTTCTAATTTTATACATTTTTGTATAGAATATAATTTTCTCTGTAATCGAGCGCCAAAATTATTAATTAAATTCAACCTATAGAATGAGAAAATAGAACTTTTAATTTTTTTTATTTAAGCTTGCATATAAGTCTTTATTATAAAGTCAAAGAAATTTGAATCTGTTGATACTTGTAGCTGTAGTGGGTATTGGGTTTGAATTTACTTAATGAGTTCTGGTTGTTAGTATTTGTATAGAAATCCAATTGTGTTTCTTTTTTATTTTTATTTTCGTTTTTATGGCGTTGTTTTGTTGTTTATTGTTTGTCTTCTTGAATTTAATACAATGAAAACGTGCAACAACAAAAAACTTTGCACCGGAAGTGTTTTGTAGACTTTAGAGATAGGAAATCAATTTAAAGTGCCTAGAATCGGTACAGTCTAAAAGAGTGAATTAGTTGATGTTATTGCTATTATTAACTTCAAAAAAGATAGTGGACATTAGTTATTTTATTAGGAAAAATTTTGCCGGACACAAAGACCTATAACTTCGAATAAGAGCAAATATTTTAGCTATATGCATGAATTTACTAAAGCAAAATCGCAAAAATGGGCTGCCAATATAAATACTACCAAATTTAGAATAATGTTGTATTCAGGAAAACCTCCAATAGAAGTAAATGGACAATCTTCACCACAAACATACAGTTTTGAACTTATTCATTTGACAATGAGTTCATAACTAACATACTCGGTATCTAACACTTTACTACCTTGAAAATTGAGTCTGCTCTTTAGTCATTTGCATTAGACCAAATAACTCCTACCCAGATATGTAGGATTCTGGAATAATACAATCAAATTAGATGTGTTATACCTCATCCTTCTCATAACTGCTGCTAGATGCAGGATTCTCATAACTGTTGTTAGAATGCATGGGGTTACGAAATAACATTTTGAGTTCACTTTATGTGAGAAATTGATGGTATTGTGACCTTTTGCCATAATTTGTGATGATTGCTGCCATATGGTAATCAATTTTCATGAAGCTATGAGAAGAAATGGTTAACGCATTTAGTTCACGTCGACAACCAAATATATTGGTGAATCTTATAATTTTGTTGTGAGATAAAAATAATTTCTGCATCTAAATTTGATTTGTCAAGTTGGATTGAATTGAAGGCTATTAGAAACTCGTCCTATATCATAACAGTTGTTGCTCTGAATACTTGTCTAACACTTTACAAATATCTGAGATTGGATAAATGACCCTTATTATAGTATTAACTTGGCCCTAATTGGTTGAACTGCGATTTGTGTAAGTGAGAAATGGTAAAAGCCAGAAAAAAAATCTTTACATATGTGATTTTTATTATAAAAAAGAAAAGAAAACAACTGTTTACATTGAACTGCTACATTTATGTACATATGCACCTATAATCGGTCTTGAGAAATTGTCTTCTCATTCAGTTGTACGGGTGTTGTTTTAGATATTTTGCAGTTGACACATTGGAATGAGTCTTCCATGGGATCCACATAGACCATTATTCCCATTTGGAAATCCATTTCGTATGGTGTTACCTAAGGGCCCACCCTCTCTCCATGGCTCCATGAACTGTTGAACACGTTTGAGGAAACCTTGGCAGAGAGGTTTAGGAAGCTTAAGCCAAAAGACAGGAGGCTGTACTTATCCTATCATGGATGAGGTTTGTAATGAAGTCCCTTTGTGACACACACACTAATATAAAAGTCTTCATTACCGCAATTGAATTCCCTGTGTTGAATTAGGATGAGAAATGAATTGATGTATATCTGGACAATAGTGTGAACTGTTGAACACGTTTGAGGAAACCTTGGCAAAGAGGTTTAGGAAGCTTAAGCCAAAAGACAGGAGGCTGTACTTATCCTATCATTGATGAGGTTTGTAATGAAGTCCCTTTGTGACACGCACACTAATATAAAAGTCCTCATTACCGCAATTGAACTCCCTGTGTTGAATTAGGATGAGAAATGAATTGATGTATATCTGGACAATAGTGTGAAGTTGTTTGATATCTGCATTGCTTTCAGGTCTGAGCTGTCATGCCTGAATCAAGGTCATCTCTTATTTCAGTGCGTCTTGCATAACTTGGAATGCCCCACTCCAAAAAAGTTTTTGCATGCTCATGCTTCATTTGATGGAGGCAGCACATTAATTGAAAGAACTCAACACTTGAGAACTGTTCTTCCATTCTAGACAATCTTACTAAAACACTTAGCCATCCTAAGGTGAAAAACTCAACCAAAGCCAAGGTTTTTATGCGTGCTATGTATGGAGTTAAGGTGGTAACTTTGTTTGTTTGTAGCATCTTTATGGCTGCATTCTCAGGTTCGGCAAAGAAGTTGAGGGATTTCCAAGTTCTCGAAATATGCTTGTGGGCAGAAGCTTTTATCGAGCTACAGTTTTTTGTTAACAGAGGGATAAGAAATATATTTTCGAGTGGTAGTGGACAGTATTGAGAGAGCTTGAGGCAAATTATATAGTTGTCAATAAATTGTACCCCATGATCCAGAATGGGGTGGGACCTGTTGAAGTTGAAGCATTCCAGAATTCAATCTCAGACTTGGGGAAGAAGAGTGAGAAGCTTTCTCAAGGATTAGATGTTCTTGCAAAGGAAGTGGATGGCTTCTTCCATATTGTTTTGATCGGATGTGATGCTTTGCTTTTCAACTTAAGAGTGGGTAGATGTTCATCCTTTTGACCTGCTCCATTGTTCTTGCTTTATTTGTATATTTTCTTTTATTTATCTATTGCAATTTTTGAGTTTGATGTTTGCATCAAGCTAACAACTTTGAACATTTTTTTTAAGTCACTATGCACACCAGTGTTACGATATAGGTTTCTGAATTGATGCTTTAGTTGCTTAAAATGAACATCCTAGGCAAGGGGTTTGCTGGAGTAATAAGTAGTGGTTTAAATCAGAACTTGCTAGGCACCCCTTGCGAGGAGAGTAGATTGCAGAATAGGCATTTAAACTGAATCTTTTGACTCTGCCCTGATGTTTTTGTTTTGTTGTTTACCTTTTCTCATGTTGGTACATCATATTTTTACCTGTCTGATCATGTTATCTTTGAGCTTGCTAGGAAGCAAGCACAAAATGCTGGTCTCTTGCTTCCATTTGATTATGGAAAAGAGGAAATGTGGTTGCTCACATATAATTGCTGCTTAAAGATTCTTTGGGAAAAGTAAATCACCGAGTACAATTATGTTTCTTGACATTTCTCCAATTATGATTTATTTTTTGAACCTTCTCCAATTATGATGAGAGACACGATATATAAGGATGGAATCAAGAATGATGTGTTTGAGCTAACTTGAAATATTATTTTCTTTAGTATATTTTTTGGGTTTAGTTGTTCTTCGCTAATTATTTACCAATATTTACCAAACAAGTGAATTTATAAAATTGTGGTTCATGACTTTAATATATATGATTTTCTATAAAATATAGTTCACGTGCGTTATACGTGTGCATTAACTAGTATATATAAACACACATACACACATACATACATACATATAGTAGCATTTTAACACAAAAAATAGTAACATTTAAATACAAAAAAATAATAATATTCAAAAACAAAAAAAAAAACAACATTGAGAATTAATATTTGTAAAAATAATAGTAGTAACATGTTCAACAAAAATAGTAACATATACAGCAACATGTCCAAAAAAAAAAAACAGTAATATGTTCATAAAAACACTAACAAGAATAGTAACATGGTAATATATATATATATGAGAGAGAGAGAGAGAGAGAGAGAGAGAGAGAGAGTATAGTTGTTCTTTGAATTTGAATTTCAAATTTATATAAAAAAATTTATTGGCATATCTTCATCGATAGTGAATTAAGAGATAATAATTCTCAAGTTAGGAAACTAATTTAAAATTGTTTTCAAAGAAGAGTATTTTGGAGTTTTTAAAAAATAGTGGACATAATTACTTATTAGTAAGATTAAAAATAGACTTAGCCTCAAATAAGTTTTTTGACGGATTAAACTCATTATAAGTCCTTTAATGAAGACTCAGCTCTAATTTTCACTTTTTACTTCTATGATTGGGTCAGCCCTAATGAGGAGGGGAACTAATTTTGGGGTCATTTGGAAACATGTATACCAAATTAGACTTAATTGTAAAAAAGTACACAAAACAAAATATTTTGAAAAAAAATACACTATTGAGATACAAAGACGTAAAAACCATTTTTTTGGTGAAGTTGTCATTCCTAAAATCTGTCAAAATGCATTTATCTTAACCACTGAAATTTCGGTACATTTATTTCAAAATTTTGGGTATCGTTATACGGCTTCTTCCTCACAAAATTGTTTCATCTTCTCCGGAGAAAAACTTTCCTTTGTCTTCCATAACCAAGCGTAGGGTGTCGATTGTGACAAAGGATATGGGATTTGGGTTTTCTTTGATTGATAGAGGATTTTTTGGTTTTTTCGGCACAAACTCAAGTTTGGTGAGAGGTTTCTGTGATTGATAGACGTATTTTTGGTTTCATCGGCACAAACTCAAGTTTCGAACTCCTCATTGTTCTTTGTTGTCCATGAACTCAACCTGAAGCACAAACTCAAGTTAGGTGATCGTTGTTTTTCTGCATTTCATTTTTTTTTTTTTTGGTAATAACATCATGGGTTGTTTAAAATCAAAATACATTACCTTTATTTTGATTTAGATGTTTTGTTTTGGATGAAAGTTCTTGTTAAATTTATTTTTAGGGGACATATTGTCGCCAATGAGTAACATAATAG